TTTGAAATATTACTAACAAAATTTTGTCAATGTTGTAGAATTTCTATTTCTTTTTCTCTTACATTTTACCACTATCATTTATCGATAAAGGAGGGACAGAGACAAAGGGTAAAATGTAAGGTGATAGGTCTATTAGATAAACCGAAATTCACCAAGAAATACCTAAATTGCTCGTTTCGTTTCGTCGTAATCGCATGCCACTCCTTTTATCGTTCACTGCCCCACCTATCCCGATCATATCTGTTCGTCCAGCCACATTTACCATACCTATTTATCCGCATCACTATCGTCATCATCATCATTATCATCACCATAAAATCAGCATTATCATTATCATTATTAGAATATATTTGCTACTGTTAAAAAATATTACCGGAGCTATTTTTTGGCATTTTAAAATAACTTTTCGATTAATTTTATTCTTACTACAATTATTTTGTTTTCATTTTTAAAATTTCACTCCTATTCTTTCATTTAATTTTTACTGCTGTTAATATTATCATTGTTATTTGATACAACTATCATTACTGTTCGATTTCTATTTTAAACAATAAAATTTACTTATTTTCCATTTTTTTTGGCAGCGAAAAATACGATTATTTTCTTGATAATTTTATTCCGGAAAATTTCTCAATAAATTTCATTCGTCTACGCTGACCTCATATTATTGACATAATTGTTAATCATTATCAATAATGATTATTACACTTATAATTATTACTCTCACTTCGTTTCACAGCTATTATTAATATTTTCAACTTTTAAAAAAGAAAGAGGAAAAAAAAAAGAAGATTTTCTTTCCAGTTACAGCTACTGAAATCAATCATATTATCAATATCCTCCTTTATCAACAGCATTATCAATATTATTATCAATCATCCATCAATTACATTTCATCGAAACGAGAGCATTTTCCTTCTTGGCTCATTTATTTTTTCTCATTTTCATGTTTATTAATTTAAATGTGTGTACACTTCGAATCGTTATGCAAACGAACTTTTATTGCTGTTAGAAAGATTTGTTAATTTTTGCAAAAAAAAAAAAAGAAAGAAAACAAAAAAGGAAGGAAAAAAAGAAGAGAGAAACACGCACGACAACAATAATAACACAGAATTTAACGAACCGTCTTTTTGCTGTGTGTTCCGTTTATGCGATCGTGGAAGACGGCGTTATCACGGGGAACATGTGCTATGTTCGGCAACCGTTGCTATTCCTTGCTTCTTCATCATCATCGTCGTGCACTCTCGATGGAATTAATATCACTCATTCCAACAACTATTATTATTTTAATAACTATTATCACTGGTACTCAGGTGGAAGCTATACAATTTCCCCAATCATTAACATTTTCTACGATGATATCTTCAGGTCAGCATGATTCAAAAGATATTTTATCTGGCATACGTATACCACGAAATGCTAGCAATTATTTCATTCAACGATTACAGGATTTAAGAAGAGATAGAAAATCGACCAATTTACATGCTAATGATATTCGAAATGATAATGATTTAATAAATAGTCAAAAATTTACGGATAATGATGCATCATTGATTGATCGGAGCATTCAAATCAATAGGAATCAATTTGCAGGATTTCCATTCTCAGATCGTACGGCTGCTACAGTGATTGGTGAGAATCAACAGCAAAAAAAATCACAATTATTTCAAGCACATAATATAGCAGCATTAGCTAATTTGCCATCGGTACAATTTCATCCAAAATTAATCCAATCAAAATTTTCAAGATTAACAAATCGAAAAGATTGTAATGGTAGTGATTGTTTGAAAAATAATGATGCCATATCGTTGTACATACCGCGAGAAAATAGCACCAACGATGGACAACCACCACCATTGCTTCTGCTAAGCAACAATCCTTCCAGTAGTAGTAGTAGTAGTAGTATTAGTAGTAGTAATAATCGGAATAATCGTAATTCTCAACAAGCTACTACACTGAAATTCTCTAAATTGCATACCGGAATGAAGATAATGGGACCGGATGTTGAGCAATCTGAAAAGCCAATTCAATTAGCACCAACAGATGCTTCCTACCATAATTCACAAGCAAATCCCAGGAATCATGGTATATATGATAGTGTGAAATTATCCGAGATTGGACCAATACCACCGTTTGCCGGTGGTGCAGAATTGACGGATTTCATACAGCCTGTTGATACGGCAATGCAAACCCATCGTATATACGAAAATATCATTCCAAATCATATTTCACCTACTGCTTACTATGATAAAAATAAGCATTATTTACTATCAGCATCGGGAAATCGCGGTATTTATGGTGATGACTTTTATCCAGCACAATTGACACCATTCAGTCCAAAATTGGAAATTTATGAACCAGTAACCTTTTCATCACCTTCTTCTATTTATTCCACTTATTCTGCTCAAATTACGAATCATCTTACATCATCATCATCATCATCATCATCATCATCATCATCATCATCATCATCATCATCATCATCACCATATGAATCACAATATGATTTATATTCGGTAAGTTTCAATTTCGGTTAATTATTCCATTGCTTAATTACTTATATGTTCGATATTATTCATTAAGTTGCAATTTTTTTTTCAACAAATAAAAAGAAATGGTGTGAGTTATGTATATTACATGTTTTCATTTTGGTAATTAATTCCGAATATACTAAATTTGTACTCTAATTTTTAAAAATAAAAATACAAATATTAATAAAGTCACTAGTATTTGTCACTAAATGTTAATCGTTATAAAAACTATTTAGCTGATAGTTTATCTGTTTGTTTGTTTGCTTGCTTGCTTGCTTGTTTATTTTATTTGCTTAGTTAATAGCATTAGTTTGATAATATTATTAATCTTAATTACATAAATGCTAAAATCCAAAGAAATTATGCGAAAATTGGTAAAAAATTTTTTTCTTTGTATGTTATTTTTTTTTAATTTATGCTAATTTTTTCCCTTAAATTTTGTAGCATTCTAATTTGTTTTCAAACTTAGATTAATTTTATATTTATGTTTATTTTTGCAAATGCTAATATGATTTTATTAATGGAAAGAAAATCATACTAAGCCAACATCAAATTTTCCCTTCTTCATTTATAATTTATGTTTCTACGATTTCTCATAAATTTTATCCGAATGAAATTTGCACATTCTTTAGTTTTTCCTTTTTTTGCTCTCTCTTCTGTGTAACAATACTCGTAATCAAAACATCGAATAACAATTATTAGATTGGAAAGATGAAACTGGAAATAAATTTGTAATTTTCATGACATTATTTAAATAATATTTAAAAAATGTTATTAATTTTCATTATTATTGATCAAAGATTAAAGACTAAAAACAATAGTTTTTTATTGGGAAAGAAATGA